CGCTCACACCGAGGACCTATCCACGTCATCATTTACCCAGAATGCTTTGTGTGTAAATAAAATGGCTCAGTCCATGTAATATATTTTAAAACTTTTAGTTTAAAAATTATAAAAAACTAAACATCGTACAGTATTTTTATAGTCTTTATTTTACAGTTAAAATTTATGTTTATTAAATAAAGTCTAATGTTACAACTAATCATGCATCCCTTTAAGGCCAAGGCTGCGTCTCACCCCTGCTGCTGTGGCTCTGACCGTCCAGCTCATTGATCGGTGAGGTCACGTCTCTGCAGCAGATGCCTTCTCCCCGTTCTCCGACGTCGCCGAACGTCACGTAGCCCGGCGGCACGGCGGGAGGTCCTGTGGAGATCGACGTTACCGTCCGCTGTCCGACACGCAGCATCGGAAAACACGACACGTACAGAAATGATGGGCTCGCACCACGTGACCCACCGTGCGGCTTGCCGGCTCCTCCCACTCTGAACTTGGCGATGGCCTGAGGCCCGTCGTGGATGCTGGCGCCTTTAGCCCGGCTCCGGCCGGGCCGAGCCCTCGGCGGCGCGCCGTCCGAGTCCTCCGAGGAGCTCAAATCTTCAAAGTGACCTGACGAGTCGGAGCACGCAAATTGAACAAAAGCATCCTTTCAGAAAGCGAGAAGCTGAAATGGAACTGAGGTTTGCTGAAAAAGTGGAGACATTCCATCGATCACCTGGTTTGTTTCTTGGAGAACGCGAGTCGATGAGGCTGACGATCTTAGTGTAGCCATAAATCATGGCGAGGGCCCGAGCACTCTCTCCTTTGGAGTTACGATCGTCGACTTTAACTTTCTAGAAACAAATCAAAGGCAAAAAAAAAACTAAAATAAATTCAGTTTAGTCTGTGTCCGGTTCAGGCTGGTCAAATGTCAAAGTGTTTAACATCCACTCACATGATCCAGGAGGTACTGAACAATAATTTCATGTCCGGAAGCTGCAGCCTCCATCAGGGGAGTGAAGCCAGACCCTGGCTCCCTGTCGATAGAAGATTATTAAATAAAACCAATCAGAAAACTATATTTATAGACGTTTTCAAACGTACATAAAGATACTCACTTAACTGTGGCGTCAGCGTTGTTATCGAGCAGAAACTTGACCATCTGTTGGTGGCCCGTACTCGTGCAGTGAAACAGAGCCGTCCAGCCTCGATAGTCCTTCAGCTCCAAATCTGCACCTTGCTTGTTGGGTTAAAGAAGAMACAAGCCCCTGAAGCAGTGTTTCCCAAAGTTGGGGTCGGGACCCAAAGTGGGGCCCCAAAACTATTTTCTGAATTAATCACATTTTGCCTTAGTTGTTACAAAGGAGTGAGGTTTAAAATGGATAAATGTAGTATAAAAATATTGTTACTTTGCCCATGTTTTGTTGACCTGATACAAATGTTTATCATCCAAAAATAGCTGGGGGCACAGGTCTCTGTTGTTGTTATTTTGTGGGTCAAAAGCTGAAAAGTTTGGGAACCACTGCCCTGAAGGATACTAAAACGTCACTCCCATTAAATAAGAAGTAATTTCTGTTTATAGAACACCTTTCTGACTCGGGATCATCATATCCTCACCTGAACCTCTTTATTCAAGAACTATCACGGGTTGTTTGCCAGCAAGTTCAACTGCTTCTATGTGTTTTCATTTTTACGCTGCTGTGCAGATCATCTTCCAGCATGACGGAGCAACATTGACGTTTAGTCAAAGCGGTCTATAATGTTTAAAAGCAACCGTGCAGACAGTCACCTGGACTGGACTTCTGCTCTCGTACCTGAAGCAGGAAGTATGCGATGCTTTCATTCCCACAGCTCGCCGCCAGCATCAGTGGAGTGAGCCCTTTAGATGTGGTGGCATTTACATCCACACCCGCCTCCAGCAGGAGATTGGCAATGTTATCATGTCCAATGTAAGCTGCATACATGAGGGGGCTCCATCCTCCTATGTTTTTGGCATCCAGGTTCACCTCGCCCCTAAATAAACAATCACATATCTTGAGAGGACACCAGCAGCTCTCTGATTAGGGTTTTATGTTAAAAACAGCCTACTTTTTGATGCACTCGGCCACCACGTCGTATTGTCCGATGGAGCAGGCGGTGTGGAGGTCCAGGGGGACATCCAGCTCCTCGGGTCGCAGCAGGGAGTCCCCCAGCCACAGGGAGAGGCTGGACCCCAGCTGCTCGGACTCACTGGCCTCATCACTTAACTCGGACATCTCTGCTCCTCAAAAGGGGACAAAAACACCTCTATAAAACCTCCAAACCACAGTTTGGACTTTCACAGTTTATCTAGATAAACAGAAAACAGCAAAACCCAGTAAATAATATAGAAAAAGCTAAAATAAACTAACTTCAGTTTTTCTGAGCCGTGATTAGCCGCACAGCTGGTGTGGATTTAGCTTAGCGGCGAAAACTTTTCTCTCTCCAGCTGAAAACTACATCTGTAGTCTGCTTCATRAAGTCTTATAAAAGCAGCACATGTTAAACAATGTTTCCCGGTGGAGAATTGAGTAATAAGTTTAAAAACTCACAGCCAGCAAGCAGATCGTTTCAGCTGCGGACCAAACTTTCCGTGTTTTGTGTGTCACAGTCATTTGTGCTCGACTGGAAACACACTCCGCCCAGTGGTCGGAAACGCTCATGGGGAAAAAAAAGTAGCATCTAGAGCAGAGCTTCTCAAACTGCATGGAGAACAATGAACTAATAAAACAGACATAATAAACTTAATAAATATATCTTCATGGCATATAGGGGTTGAAATGACAATAAATTATCTTTGAAAACAGCAGTGTTTGAGTTGGTCCCTGCACTTATTTTTGCCCAGACCCAAATGGCTTGAGAACTCCTGATCTAGAGAATAAACTATKTAACATGTCATTTTATGGCATCTTCTCCTTTTTTTAATCAAGTTTGGTACATCTTATTTTATTCACATTAGAATATAGTACACATATAAAATGTTTAAAACAATTTAGTTGGATAAACTCTTCCTCTTTAGTATGGAGGCTGACTTTGTAGTTTCTTTTAGTATAAATAGCTGACGAGTATCATAATCCACTGTAAATTACATATTTATGATGTTTATACATTTTGCACAACCTTCCAACAGCATTCTATAGATGTTTAATTTTTATTACCAGGCWATGGCTTAAAACCTAAAGCTGTAGTTATGAATCTTTATAGCAGCTGGAAACATGAAGATAAACAGTTAAAAATAAACATTAAAAAAACTACATTTTTAGTC